GAGGAGGAGGAGGAGGGAGGGAGGGAGGGAGGGAAGGAGAAAAAGAAAAAGACGAAGAAGAAGCAGGAAGAGGAGAAGGAAGAGGAGCAGGAGGAATTAAAGGAGGAGGAGGGGGAGAACAAGAAAAAACCAAGAAGGAAAACAAGAATCAAGTAGTAATACATGTTACAAAGTTGGTACTTTTTTCGTTTGTCACCCTACCTTGGGAGAGAGAGAGATAGAGAGCAAGAGAGAAAGGGAGACACAGATGGAGAGACAGAGAGAGTGAGAGAGAGAAGGAGAGAGAGAGAGAGGGAGAGGGAGAGGGAGAGAGAGAGAGAGAGAGAGAGAGAGAGAGAAGAAGAGATAGAGGAGGTACTTTTACTAGTGTATAAAAAACACATAGGAAAATGTAGAACTAAATCACAGTTGCATGGATGCTAAGCGAGGTAGCGTACCTATCTGAGCGGCATAGTTGCCGTATCCCTTAGCTCCGGACAGTATCAGGACGCAGTTCTTGTCGGACTCCACGCTGACCACAAAGTCAAAGACCACAGCCAGCAGGAGCAGAGAGACGACTCCATGGCGTGGCGTCATCACCTCTGTCTTGTTCCTAGTAGTTCACTGTTGGGCAATAATGTGATACCGTTTGCTTCTTCAAAGCGTGTTGGTCTGTGTACTTGAGTGAGTAATTGTGTGCACTGTGATAATGTCACACAGCGAGACATGCTAGTAGGTGGTCTTTTTTTTACACCAGTGTCTTATCCAGTGTGCCACAAACACCCCGTGATGCATCAGGGGTTAAAAGTTGATTGTCATTACTTTTCCTCTCGTTTCAAATTTTTCAACCTGCTCTGAGTTTTTGGTTTTTATGAAAAGTTGTCTACTAGTTCCGATTCAGTCGTGTACCTGTTCTACTATAGGTGAGAAAGTCTTTGCCAATGCGGAGGTCACACAGTGTGACTGGCTGATTAGTTAGATGTTTCTCACCTCTCATCTTTGATCCCAAGATCACTACAAGAAGTGATTACAGTAGGAAAGCCAACAAGCTGCTAATTTTGAGATTGTGACGCTATTTCAGTGTAAGCTTGCACACTTCATCCTAAGACCAGTCTCCACCTAAGTCTTTAAAAGTGCGTCTATTGTTCCATGGAGGCGTCAGTCAAAGTATGGTGATGATGAACGTGATATGGATATTTTTTTTTATGTTTTGGGGGTACGTTGAAAAATTCCCTTTTATTTTTCGTACCCCCATTTGGCAAACATCGTGCGGGAACCGTAGTTTGCAGTGCAGCGACCCTTCATTGATGGGTTTTTAGATTCTGCTGGTCATCCCAATTTTATACTCGCATGCAAAGACCTGAAGAGATTAAACAGAGCGGTTAGTTTTTATTACATTTTAGCCGCAGACAAACGAAAGGAAACAGGCTGTAAACGTTATTGTTACTACTAGTGATGAGAGTCAGATAAAGTGGTGAATGTACTGAAGTGCATGCGTTTCATCATTTTCTATCTTATCTTCTTATCCTGCACTGAGTGACCTGCCGGCCTCTCTTGTGGAACAGTCAGGCGTTTCCCATAAAAATGGTCATAAGAGTGCAGATTTCTCTTTTTCCTTTCCGTTGGTTGATCTATTTATTTACTTATTATTTCTTTACCTATTTTGATGGGGGTAAAGTATTTGTAATCACTAATTAGTATTAGTCAGTCAATCGCACAGTGTGACCTCCACATTGGCGCGTGATGTCCCGCCGATTGTAAACGGGATCAGGTACCCTATATACAAGAATCGTAACTTTGCGAGCAACTTTTGGCCAAAACAAAAGCATAGCAGGTTGGAATTTTAAACTTCGGGAAAAGCAAAGACAACTGGCTATTGTCCCTTCTCACGTCATGAGGTGTTTGTGGCTCGGGCATGTCCCGCTTCCTGATGGGGCCCTTTGCCTTCAGGCAGCCATATTCTGATTTCGAAGGTACTTTATACCTGGATAGCTGGATGTGTCATCTCTGACTCAGAGGTTGACGTGTAATGAACTTCCCATCTTTCACGGTCGCGAGCTGCCGTTGCACATTCTGCCATATCCAGGCCAGTCCATGTCCTTATGTAGTCCATCCATGCTATTCTTTGCCTTCCTCTGGCTCTTCTACCCCACATCTTTCCTTCAAGCACCTGTTTCACAATGGTCTCGTGTCATTTTAAGAAGGTACTCGATATTGTTTTTTATATTGACTACAATATTTTCAGTTTTGGTAGGAATTAATTTAGAATTTGGCTTGGATGGTGGCGAAACCCGCTCTGGTGGATTTCAGGTCATTTGTTTTTAAATGTACAGATATGTAACACACCCAATCGTCACAGATTAGACCATTTAGGAGGCGGGCTTCTGACACTGCCTGTCAGGGCCAAGCCGATCTATTATCTCAGAGTATACACTTACTTTTTCACACAAGCAAACATACCAACAAGCAAGGAAGAAGCTAAAGGCTACATCAACTACTGCACTCGTGAATGCAACTAACGAGTGCCTCAAAAAACGAGAACCCGAGTAAAGGGCAATAACTCAGTGCATCTTTGCACCAATTTCGACAGAACTTCAGACGTCAAATCTGTCAATGTAAAGAAAATCAATTAAGTTAAAAAATGGCAACAAAGCTTGAGTAAAAAGCAAAGTTTTACCCCTACAATTTCCACTGTAGATGTCACACACTTTTTGTAACTCTTCCTCCCGTGGAACCCCCCACCCCCACCCCCCACCCCTTCCCCATACATTTGCACATATCGACGACCACGGTCATCTGTTTCCTGGTCTTCTAGTATTTGCACCTACCACACAGTGAGCTCCACGGAGGACCTGGCTCTGTGCATTAGGTCAAATCTATTCCGAACGGACGGTCAATGTTGACGTTTCTGAAATACTGTTGAATATATTATTCTCTCGGCCACCCGTATGAGACAACCCCCTGTACAAGCGGTCTCTTCCAATCTCTCTCTTTCCATTAAAAGAATATATTAAGGTGATACAATGTCATGCATTGTGTTGGACGTCCATCTGTCTATAACAACCCTTTTCCTCCTCGACACAATGTACCTTCCAGATCTCAGATCTCAGATTCGAACTCATATCTTGTACGTGTAACACGAAAAACCTGGATGTTTATCCACCATATGTGAAGTGTGCTGACTCTATGAGTTACTTCTCAGATTTCTACCCAATGGAAATAGATACATCATGCTTATAGGTGAAGTTTTTATAGTTGGTAAGTATGAGATAACAAAAGGCATTTAATACAATATTGCATCAATAGCAAACCTAGAAATTTGACCTAAGTGTCGATTTTTGGCCAATATCTCAATTTGAGGATTATAAGAAGTCATTTTGTCAACACGCCTCACATAATATGCAACTGTAACCCACACGACCACACCGGCGTTAGTGGTGTAGCAGTTACACCCCCTCGCCGTTGCACGCTAAAGACCCGATTTTAATTTCAGTATGGAGAGTATCTCGGTCGTTTAGCCGGGTTGATCCTGACAGGCAGGGTCAAATCCCGCCTCCTAAATGATCTAATATGTGTCGATGAACGCGTAAAAACGCTTACAATTTTTAAATAAAGATAATTTCTAACAAGTAGATCTATGCAAGCTGTTAATTTGTATAGTATTAGTATATAGTTTTAAAAATCCTGTCCACCTCGTCAAAAAAAAAAAAGACAAAAAAAAAGACAAGAAAACCAAACAAACAAACAAAACTCAATGAACACTTGAAGGTGGTGCGACCTCCCTTTTTCCGTACAGTAGAACAGCACACTTAAATAGCTCCCCGGGGGGCTCTCGAGGCCTAGAGGTTAAGGTGTTGGCCTCTCATTCAAAGGTCCCGGGTTCGAATCCGGGTAGCGACCAAAAAAAATTTTTTTTTCTAAAATTGTCTCCTTTCACCCCTTTTCCTGTTCTCTAGCAATGTTCTGTTGTCTGCTTTCATTTCCACTTTCTGCCCCCACCCCTTCAACTCCTTTGCCCCCTCCTCTGGGCTCCTGAATCTTTCTGCAGCCTTTCTACTGTTACTCCTTGGCTCCTCCTTACTGCTCTGTTTCTGCCACACCCCTGATTTTCTGATAGGAAAGATCTACACATAGCCTTCTCGGACAAAGGCGAAAAATCTCGGAGGGCCCGTGTGCAAGTTGCGCACGTTAAAGATCCCTTGGTGGTCTAAAATCGATAAGAGTAGGCTTCGG